TTCGCTAACTGACGGATCTTCGGGAATCTCACGTCGGGCCTCGCTCCCAGCGGCACTGCAATGCCGGGCAGACCCGCAGCAGGGCAGGAGCAAGCTCCCTGCGCACCGCCCGCTCCCAAAAATCAGGGTAATTCAGACCCCTTCGATAAGGGGGCGACAGAAATTACGCTGCCGAGAACAGACACTACACTTTGATCTTAGCTATATTTAGCCGAGAAGCGATAAGGTTTTGAGTTTTCAATTAAATTTAAAAGCTCAAAATTTAATTTCACTATCGAGAAATATCAAAGCTCAAAATTTAACTTCACTATCGAAAATTCACTATCGAGAAACTATCATATCGCAAGGCGCCCTCTAGAGCGAGCGCCCTCTGGAACGAGCGCCAATCGCTCACTGACCATTAGCAGGTCAGTATGTGCACACTACACAATGTATTAAAAAAAAAAAATTGAAAAAAAATTAATAAAAATTGAAAAAATAGAAGAATTTTCGTTCGACATTAATTCAACAAAATTCGAATGCGAGCAACCACCAATCGCGCACAGGTCTATGAGCAAGTCAGTATGTGCACGTACAATACACAATGAAAAAAAAAAGAAGAAATAAGAACAAAACAATTAAAAATTAATAACAATATTCAAAAAATAAATATATTAGAAGAAATTTCGTTCGGCAAAATTCGAGTAGTATAACGGAATGTCCAGTAGATAAAGAAACTAATGGACATTGTGTAACGACATCTATTTACTCTTATAAAAAGTTACCATGGAAATACAGTATATTATTGGTTACCATCAAATATATTATTGGTTACCAACAAATTTCCGAGGATATATATAATAGTAAATAAGAAATTAATAATCAGTCGTTAGTCGTCAGTCGTAATTCATCCATTAAATTCTGTATCATGTAAACGTTAAAATAAATTATAAAATTTTCCTTTACGTAGTACGGTGATTTTATTATTTATCGATCATCGTACCTACAATTGAAACTGCATGAATATTCGTTTCGTATTAAAATCAAACGTTAAATGCGTGAAAAACATATATAAATTGTATATTTTGTGAAGAAAATCGTACGTTTTTACACAAAAAATATCGAGTTGTGACGTATTCCAGTTATTACTAATTATTAATTAGTATCAATAATTAATTGATTTCGTGAAAGTTTTAGGTTAATAGAACACAACTAAATAGGAAGAATACTTCATTCGTGTATTACGTTAAGCTCGTATAAATACATACACAAGATATAATAAGGTATATAATAAGTTCGACGATCGCTTAGCAGAAAGTACAAGCGTACTCTGTCGTTTGATAATACAAAAAGGAAATACCATGTACAAAGTATAAAATGTATATATATGTGTGTGTGTGTGTGTAAATGTGTGTAGATATAAAGGTAATAACTACATACGTGATGTACGAGACGTGCGTTAAAAAAAAAAGGGGGAATCATTAAATTATCCTAATCGATACATTATTATATGTCGTTAAATACCAGTGAGGGTGATTATACGCAAATGTGCATGTGACTGGAGTGGTGTAAGTATATCGAGTGTATTAAGAAATAAACAATAAAAACTGTAAAAACGAGGGAGGTCTGTGATGGTTGTCGCCGAGCGTTCGGGAGATTTATCAGGTTTTTCTTTTCTTTTCTTCATTTCTTTTATGATGATGCACGACAAGACCGATTCATTTCCGATAATTGTTACGTGGTGGTAGGTACTGATTGCTAGCTCCGGCTCCGATGAGACCTGCTGCGGAATTTCTTTATTACTCGAAATGACAATTTTTAAATAACAAGTAAGAAATGCTAAATTTTATATAGTAAATAATATATATTGTAATATAATATTGTGTGTATATATATATATATATCTGTGTAATATAATATTACAATATATATTATATAGTCATATAGTAAAAATTTAAATAATGAACAAGTTATGCATGATCATGCAATCCAGGTTATGTAGCACGGAAAATTGTATAGTGATGCCATCTGTAGGAACGTTGTAGAACTAATATATTCTCTTCACAATGATAATTTACCATTTTTGATTTTTTCAAAAAGTTTTAGAAAAACTGACAAGATACAAATCAGTAAAATTGCACTTTTTTCAATCAGTAATAGAGTAATTTCGTTATTTCAAAAGTAAATCCACTGATAAAAGTATACATATATAGAATCTACTAATAGAAGTACAGATATATAGAGATATTTAATTTTCAAGTATCTTGAAATTTTTTCAGAGGGCTATACAGTATATGAAATTGTAGAAAATTTTCCAAATTTCGTTTACCTTTATGGTAGATAATATTTTGTAATAATGGTTAATATTTTTTAAATTTTTGGTAGAATATTTGGTAAAGAATGTAACGTACAATGTAAGTACAATGAAAATTATATTTACCTCCTTGATAACCACCCTGAAATCCTCCTGTACCTCCAGGTGCTCCATAAGTTCCAGAGGGTGCTCCATAAGCTCCAGCTCCACTTCCGATACCTCCTCGAGAAAATTGAGCCTGCCCTTCGTACTGAACATCAGCAGTATATCCATTTGCATCATCCGCCATGTATTTCACGATTTGTGTCCTCGAGTCCGGTAACAGCACTCTATATTCTCCTTGTACCACGTTACCATCGCTGCTCTCGCGTTGAGAGTAGTCATTGCCACTAGGAGGATCATATACCTCGTATTGGAAGCTGTATGGCTGTGGCTATTAAAAAGTAAAATTATATTATTAATATAATAATAATTTTAATGGATATTGGAAGCTGTATGGTTTAAGCTACAAAAAATATTATTCATTACTTTTGATTTTTTTTTTTGTTAATGAGTATTCTTTAGTCTATTCAAATTTAAAATGTGTCGAACGCACTCTTCCATAATCACGATTATAACCACCCTGTCCTCCGCCACCTTGGTAGCTTAAATCACGAGCATCAGCGAATCCAGGAGCACCATAAGTGCCAGAGGGACGTCCAGCATTAAGGTCCAAAGTTCCTGGAGCTCCATAAGTGCCAGAGGGACGTCCAACATTAAGGTCCAAGGTTCCTGGAGCTCCATAAGTGCTAGAGGGACGTCCAACATTAAGATCCAAGGTTCCTGGAGCTCCGTACAATGATGAAGGTCTCCCCCTGAAACCTACATCTCCCGGACTACCGAATCCACCTGGTCTGTTGTACTGGTAACCACTTCCACCGGGGCTACCACCCGGTAGCAATCCAGCGAGTGCATCACTAGCAAAACAGGATAGCAGCAACAACGCTTTCATCAACTGAAATAAGATTTTAATTTTCTTTTCAACGTGCATATTAGTAAAATATAAGGTTGAGAAATATTTAACGTTTGAAAAATAACAATAATAATAATATTAACGAATAGAAAGACATTTACATTTATAAAGTTCACTTATAAAAATTGTTTTATTAGAGATCTTTGAACAGAATTTTTTCAGTTGCTATTTTGTGATAGTAGTTTTCTAATTGTAATTGAGAAAATTTCAATTAATTTAAATTAAGGTTCTAATAGATCCTTAAAAAATATGAAAAAATTTCTAGATTAATGTTTCAATTCAAGCTAATATCAGATTTCTTAGAAACAATTCCATTTTCATCAGTAATAATCATTTACAAATATTCCAAAATTATAGACAATAACATATTCTTAAATTTAATACCTCTACTCTGGAGTCACTATACGTATGGAGCATATAAGCTATAAGTTTGCACCGTTACATATCTAATCAAAAAGCTACACATTTAACGATTATTACAAGTTTAATATTATTATTAACAACAACGAAACAACAAAAGTGGATTGTTTATAAAATCAGATTACATTATTTGTCCAATTGTATGTAGGAGTATAACAAAGGCTGTTATATACATTCGTCAATTTAAATTCACCCAACGAAGAAGCATTTGCAAAATATTTGTTGAGTCAAATAGAGGAAGCTATTTCTCTCCTGGAATTAATAACGACACACACGATGAGCCGATTACCTGGTTTCAACACTAGACGTCATTAGTACCGGCGACAAAAAGAATTGTAGAAAACGCAAACGCCAAGTCCAATAGAAAGCTTGAAATATCGCGTACCAATGATTTACCAATGGCAGAATTAATGTTCTACTGAAATCAGGGATGATTACTGGGAGACGAGCGTGTCTCCTTTTCCTTTTGTACATTTATTGAGACATGTTGTCCAAGGAAGTGAGCTGAAGTGAAGGTGTACAAAGTAATGACTTGGTGCACAAAGTAATAACTTTGGACTGGTCCATGAAAATTATAAATTGGAATGAAAAGATGATTTTACATATTTTGACTGCATGTACTTCCAGTCAAGAGCTTCAGATTATTGAAATTTCTATTAATCTGAATTTTTGGCAAATTTTCAATTTCAAAATTCATTGTTTTTGATATGAAGAAGAATTTCCAGGATTTCACTTTAGTTCATGGAGGATAAGATTTCTGGTACATCTCTTCAGTTTCGTTCGCTGAAAATTTGCCAAAATGATTATACGAAATAATAATGAATCGTTGTATCACACGAAATAATTACTTTCGTTAACAATCTTGATTTGTCGGACTTCACTTTCGACTTCCAAAGAAATTGAAACTTCTTTTATCAAGCTATTACATTAAACAAGATTATAATGCCACGAAATTTCATCGAATGAAACCACGTATAATAGTAATCTTAAATTTTATAAATAGCCGAAGAGAACTAAAACCACCCTACCAAGCGTGTGAAAATTTCCGATGGATAACCCAACGATCCTGAATTTTCAACTGAGGGAAAAGCCGCCCCCCGCCAGTTTTCAAACTACATCAATCTCCAACATTTCTCAAAGTTTCAAAATCTCGGATTTCGCTACAAATCACCTATAAAGAAAGAAGATAACAAATAATTTTAACCTACCAACAACTGCAGTTTCCCTAAAAAGGGGTTGAAATCTAACAGCTTCTCAACTCAAACAGAATATATTCTGATGACCAGAATCGGTATCTACAAGTTGCTATCTGTATCGCCGCCTTACCAGAAAGCTGATTAGTAAGCATAACCGGGAGGATAGCCTACCTGATGGTAATTCATATTGGTGTTATGAGCGAAGACGCGAAGCGAACTGAGAAGATGATCCACGGACGAGTTTATATACCGTCCGGACCCTTTGTTACAGTTTATCCTTAGCGCTGCATATCCACGTATTAACCAGTACGTATTAGAATGACTGGCTATGGGTGTGGGAGGTGGAGAGGAGCAGTGCATCTTCCCTTCACTCTCGGTGATGCATCATGGGAAGAGATATCCTGTTGATGATGACTGAAACAGCTTTAAATTTTAATTGGATTCACACACGTGACTTCTTGATCGACTAGATCATTCGGGTGTCCAAGGAATCAGGAGACCTCGGATCCTAACTGCTAGGAGGTCTCTTAACAACCCTTAACCCTCTTTTCAATCCCTAGAGAACTCATCTGATTCCTCTTTCGCTGTTGATTAAAAGAATCAGCGTTTGATTAGAAAAATCTTCTGTGTAATTTTTGAGATATTGAAATTAATTATTTCCAACGAAGAGTTTTTTATTACCATGGAAATTGTGAGGTTTGATTAATAATTTTTGTTTCTCTAGTATATGATATTTTTTCATTCCTTTTATCATGAGATATATTTTGCATTTTTCCTGCAATAAAGTTTCCTGTAATCTCCCCTGGCTTATAAAAATTATTTTTTTTTTTTTGGCCTAAATAACAAAATTGTAACCGAAAAAAAAATCTCTTCCTGAGATTGCCAAATGTAAGAAACGTATATGTAAAAGTCATACAGCTATTTCACTCATGTTGCATAACCCATAGTAAATCTCTTTGTCAACGTTACGATATCAAGACGATTCATCTGACGTGGAAAAAAGGAAAAAACGGGGGGAAAAAAAGATTTTAATCTCGTCCGAGTGTTCAAATGTGCTGAACCAATTACTAACTTGTAATACGAATGAAAGGTGGATGAAGAAATAGGCTTGCTGCGTGGTGATTATTGAACAAGTAAAAGGTAGAAAATAAAGGAAAACTTGTTTGCTTTAATGCCTCCACAAGACATTCAGGTATGCATTATATAAAAAATTTAAAAGAAACAAATTACAATCTCTAACAATAGAAAATTCTGTTTCTCATATAAAAACTGATGTGTGAGTAAACTACTTCAGTTTGTATTAAATATTTTTAACTAAAAATTGCTCCATTCTTTTTTTTCTTTTTTTGTATTATATACTTAATGATCATTTACAGAATTAGATAAGAAATAAGTAAGAAGACAAATTGACAAGTTCTCCTGTACTTTCACTCAAATAGAATGTGACCTTGTTTGAACATTTGGTAATAGAAACACATCGTTGTTAGCTATTCTAATCAAAGACTTTGGAATTTTTTATTAACTGAATATAAGGTCACTTTCTACCAACATTAACAGATATAATCTGATATCTCTTCAGTAACAAAGTTAATTCTCTAATTTATTTCCTTTCTTCATACCAGCCAAGAATTTCCATAAATTAATCAGTGGAAAGATGCAATGTAATCCTAAACATGACCATTACTTATGTAACGAATTAAGTATCAGAAAACGAATTGGTCAATATAAAAGTATTCATCCAGAAAATTGTCAACGCGCAGTTAATCGGATTTCCCCCTGAATGGTATACGTATAATTGCCTGTTCATGATCACTAATGAATTCTACGATTGCACGCTATCCGTATCTTTCACCAAGAAGATTATGGTATGAATATTCTTAGGGATCATATACACGTGAGTATTTTTAAGGATCATCTTGTAGTTGAGGCTGAATATTTTCTTAATTGCACCTTTCCTTCTGACGTACGTTTCTTTCCCCACTTTCAGCTGCCTGGGGGTTTAATGATTCAATTAAAGTACCCCGATGTGCACAACGTTGCTCTTGTGTCCCGATATCGATTTGATCGTGCTGTTATGCGATCTAGCGCAGATGTAATCCTGTAATTTCGCGCTGTCATAAACCCAACAGTATGGAACAGAGAACGCGCAGTAACTCTGTTAATATCTGTGATCGACGTACCTGTGAACTTTCGATCGACGCGGTAGATCTGGCACGAAATTTTCAATTCAAATGCGGCAATTTTGGCTGAGCAAAATATCCTCTAGTCATTTTGAGGAAGTACATACACTGGGAAAGTATGCAGGATTAACAGCTGCTGCAGGTAGTTTGCCATCTTGCAGGCGTCAATGTTG